CAAAAACCTGAGATATGCCTATAGGAGTCTCTTGGTAGGCCCATAGATTAGTTTCAGAATGATGGGTAGGATTCCTGAGGATCTAACCCTGTGACTGGAGGACTGGAACTTCCAGCATCACCCCAGGACTACCAGGGAAAAAGAGCTGGACATGGGGTTTCATCATCAACACCCAATGATCTCATCAATCATGCCTACCTACTAACTGGGTTCATGTTACAGACAGCCTAACCCAGGGACCCTGGCTGGAGGATTTGGCCACTGGCTCACTTAAGAAATAAACAAAAGATGGAAAAATAAATTGTGAACTTCATGCAGTTTGATCAAATCAAGAAGCAGTTAGATTGCTTTTCTCCACCAGCCCCACAGAAGCAGTTACAATTTATAGAAACAAAAGCCAGATGATATACATACATAGATTTAATTACCCTGTATTAGAGCTGGGGCAGGGAAGGGATCTTCATTCTTCAGCTTCCTTTAGCCGTTTAGCTTCCTTCTTTCCCCAGGAGGAAGTCTGTTCTTAATTCAGAGTAGGGACTCCAAATTCACTCTCTTTCATTCAGGTGGCAACCTGAGAGTTGTGAGGGCATTAGAAATGGGGGCAGTCTTGTGGGGACTAAACTCTTAACCTGTGGGGTTTGCTCTGTGCTAACTCAGGGAAGTTGGTACTGGAATGGAATTGAATTATAGTATAGCCAGTGTGTGTCTGGAGAGTCAAAAGAATTGGTTGATAAAAGGTGAAAAACTCACACCTTTGGTGTTAGAAACGTTGAGTAAAATTAGATCAGACAATATTTTCTTTTTTTTTTTAATCTGGTAATTCCATCAATTTTCTTTTGTTCCTTTCACAGATGTTATAAGCCCAACCAAACCAACCTTCACTGCTAACATCTAGATAGTATTTTTTAAAATATTTTTTTTTTTTTTTTTAGTTTTTCGGTGGACACAACATCTTTGTATGTGGTGCCAAGGATCGAACCCTGGCCGCACGCATGCCAGGCGAGCGTGCTACCACTTGAGCCACATCCCTAGCCCTTAATATTTTCTTTTTGAACTCAGAGGTGCTCTATTGCTGAGCTACATCAGCCCCTGCTTTGTGTATGTGTGTGTGTGTGTGTGTGAGAGAGAGAGAGAGAGAGAGAGAGACAGCGTCTTGCTGAGTTGCTGAGGCTGTCCTCAAACTTGCAATTCTTCAGCCTCAACCTTCTGAGTCCCTAGGGATTACAGGCATGGGCCACTCACTGCACCCTAATATAGTATTTTCAGGGTTTATTTATTGGTACTGGGGAATCAAACCCAGTGACTTGTTCATCCTAGACAACTGAGTTACACCTTCTGCTCCTCATCTATTATTGTGTTGAACTGTGTCCCCCCAAAAGTTGTTAAAGTACTAACTCCAACAGCTATGAATTTGACCTTACTTGGAAACCTTACTTGGAACCATCTTTGGAGATGATCAAGATATTAAGAGGTCATTGGGCCTCTAATCCAATGTAATTGTATCTTTTCTGTTTGTTTGCAGTGCTGGGGATCAAACCTAGATCACTGTGCATATTAGGGAAATATTCTACCAATGAACTATACTCTCAGCTCTGACTGTATACTTACAAAAGGGACTGGAACACACATAGCAGGAAGATACTATGAAGATACAAGGGAACACTATTTATTTAACAAAGGCTGTTAAGGAGCTAGGGGAAAGGCAATGGAAAAGATTCTCTTTCACATCCCTCAGAAAGAACCAACCCTGACAATACCCTGATTTCAGACTTGTGGCCTCCAGAGTTATGAGACAATACATTCTGTTGTTTAAGCCACTCAGTTTGTGTAATTTATTACAGCAACCCTGGAAACATATATATAAAGTATATATCAGTAACTTATTCCCCAAAATACTCCCTTGTATGGAAACATCACTTTTTTGTTTAGCCATTGAACATTTCAGTTATTGTGACCTTTTGACTAGTATGTATAATGCTGCTATTATAAACATTTGTATACAGATTTATGTATGGACATATTTTATCTTATATGTATATTTAAGAGTAATATGATAACTCGGTTTAACTTTTTGAGCAACTATCAACCATTTTCCAAAAATGACTGTACCATTTAACTTTCCCACCAGAATGTGTGAAGGCTCCAGCTTTTCCATATTCTTATCAAAACTTGTATTGATCCTGGAGGGCACAAAGTGGTATCTCATTATGGCTTTGATTTGCATTTTTCTTATGATTTTTTAAAAATGTGCTTACCAATTTTTTATCTTTAAAGAAATGTATATGCAAATCTTTTGCCCAGTTTTTTGTTGTTGTTGTTGTTGCTGTTGTTTGTTTGTTTGAACTCAGGACCTATGCATGCTAAGCTAGTGCTCTACCACTCAGCTATATCCCCAGACACCTTTTTGTGTTTGAATATTTGGTGCTGGGGATCCAACCAGGGAACACTTTGTTGTTGTTTTTTTAATATTTGGAGACAAGTCTCACTCACTAAGTTGCTGAGACTGGCCTCCAATTTGTGATCCTTCTGCTTCTGCCTCTAGAGTAGCTGGGATTACAGGTAGATGCCAATGCTCCTGGTTCCCCAGAACTTTTTTAACTTTTATTTTTAGATAGGGTCTTACCAAGTTGCCCAGGCTGACCTATAACTTCTAGCCTACTGCCTCAGCTTTTTTCTCAGCTGGGATCTCTGGCAAGCACCACCATATATGGCCCAGTTTTAAGTTTTTATAAAGTAAGCACTGATGTTTAAAATCTTTTTTGTAACATTTTAAAATTAACTCTGTATATCTAAAATATTTCAAAGTTAAAAATTAAACAATACATATAAGAATAATAAAAAGTTAAGAAAACTATAACCTAAACTATCAATAGGAAGTAAAATTGCAACTTTTTATTTTCTATTCTTTAGAGCTTGATTTGTTTCCCTGGATTACACAAGTGATGCAAATCATCTGTACAAATTTTTGGAAATTGGTATCACTAGTAGACCCACTATCCAGGAATAATATTATCATAGAAATTTATATTCTAACACCAATACAGAAACACTTATAAAGTTTTGGGACTCAAGGCTGGGGTTGTGGCTAAGTGGTAGAGCACTTTTCTAGCATGTGTGAGGCCCTGGGTTCAAGTCTCAGTACTACATATAAATAAAATAAAGGTCCATTTACAACTAAAATAAATATATATTTTTTTAAAAAATGTGGGGGATAATTTGTTCCATAGAAGAGAGAGTCAGGTAAACAATGTAGAGCTGGATGGGCTATGGTCTAACACAAATTTTTTATCTATTCTGTTTATGTATTCAAGACCAGGTCTCACTATGTTGTCCAAGCCTACCTCAAACTTGCAATCCTCCTGATTTAGTCTCCTAAATAGCTGGGTTTAGAGGCACAGGCAACTGCACCTGGCTGGAAATTTGTACTGCAAAGATGTGAAACCAAGAGAAATTTCTTAACCTGGCTCACTCAGAGAGTGATGATTGAGCTAGTTTTGGAAGGTACTACACATTGAATCCTTACTATTTTCCAAGACAAGTTGTTTAGGGCCTTGCTGAGTTGCTGAGGTTGGCCTCAAAGTCCCCATCCTCCTGCCTTAACCTCCTGAGTTGCTGAGATTACAGGAGTGCACCAATGTGCTTAGCTGGAAAGTTAAGGGGGAAAAACAGGGAGTTTTCCAGATGAAGGGCAGCCAGGAGTAAAGGAATATAAGTAGGAACATTGATAGAAATCTTTGATAGCAGGATTGAAAGTTAGGGAGGAAGAGGTAAAATTAGAGGATACTAGATTCTAGAAAGAACATGGATAACCCTGAATGTATTACTATAGATTACCGGGATTCCTTAAGAGTTTTGGGAAAGGATACAGCTTGATTAGACTTATGTTAGATTCATGAACTTGTGGGGAGGACAGTTTGGGGGAATGAGAGAATGGAAGGCAGGGACTGGGGAACCATTAAATATAATTCATTTTATATTCTGAATATAAACTCAAAGATGACCATATGTCCTGGCTGGTCAGAGACAATCCCAGATTACATCTTTGGTCCTACAGTACTTGCATTAGTATCCTTGTCCTGTAAAGTGTCTGGAGAAAAAAAATATATCACCAACATATAACACACTTGCACACATCAACAGAACTTTGACAATTCTTGTCTTTACTATGTGAGATACACCGACATTACATATTTTATTGTATTACACTTCATGTTTTAAATTGTAGATGCAATTCGTTAAGCTGATTTCATGACACACTACTAATTAGTTCATAACCATGAATTGAAGTTGACCTAGACAACTCCCAGGTCTTCGGAAAGGGGGAAAGGTACAGAATTAAGTTTGGGATATTAAGTTTCAGGCTGCCGTTCTTAAACTTTGGCAGTGCATCAGAACTACCTGAATTAGTGAAAATGGAGGCCCTACCACATAGTTATGCGTGCCTGTCTGCTTCGTATGTACACTTTTTTTCGGTCCTGGGAATTGAATCCAGGGGCACCCTACCAGTGAGCTACATCCCCCCAGTTCCTTTAGTTCATTATTTATTATTATTATTATTATTTTGGTCTCATTAAGCAGCGCCTGGAACTTGTGATCCTCCCATCTCAGCCTCCCCTTGTCGCTGGGATTACAGGAGTGCGCCACGGCGCCAGGTTTGGGATTGCATCTATATGGAAACAGCTGTTAGAACCTCCAATCACAACGTATAAAACGCATACGTATACTCACAGGGTGGAGAATACCCTCAGGAGTTATGCGAAAGTCTAGGAAGGAGCCCAGGCGGGAATAGAGAGCATAGCGTACGGCGCTCGGCGCGTCGCTGTGCCCCAGGCCCTCGCCGACCACAAGTCAAAGCCGCAGAGCCCTACTCGGGGCCACGATAACTTGACTAGCAGGACCTGGCCCCCAACCGCGCTCGGACGCGCCACGCGCGACGACCGCCCCACAGTGCCCCGCGTTGCGCACGCGCAGACAGCGGTTCCCGGCGTGCAGCGCGGCGGCCGAGCCGGCAGCGGGCCGCCTCAGGCAGCCCCGCCGGGCCGCCCGGTTCCAAGCAGCGGAGAGGATGGCGCTGAAGCGGATCCAGAAGGTAAGGGGCCTCCCCACCTTTCGACATGCGCGTCTAAAGCGTCTAAATGAGGGCCGGATGCAACTGCCGCGAAGCGACCGATGACTGGCGCAGCGAAAGGCACTGACACCTGTCTCGGTGGGAGGGAGAACCGCCGCCGGCGCAGCCTTAAAAGGGGTAGACGTGTGCGCGGGGCGGGGTTGGCTCACGTGGGCGGGGTCATGAGTCCGGGTCACGTGTGCGCCTTGCCCAGCAGCTAGAGGCCGGAGGAAAACTTAGACTGGGGTTTCGAGGTTGACGCTAAGTGTTGGGGTTGAATAGGAACTCAGAAGTGGAGAAAAGGGAGAAAGGTCTTCCTGGAGACCGTGATGCTCGGAATGGGGGTGGGGGCCCAGGGCTTCTAGAAAGAATACCAGGCTTTTATCTTGTAGGTAACACGGTGTCTTGGTAGGAGTTCAGTACATTATACTAGAATTTGGAAAATGCACAGCAGTAGAATAAAAAGTATTTCCAATACTACTCTCTTACCATTTAAACATTTTAGCATAGCTACTGCAGTCTTTTTCTTACACACACACACACACACACACACACACACTGCATTTTGTCCTACATTTGAATATAACTGTTTTTTGGGGGGAGGACGGGTACCAGGGATTGAACTCAGGGGCACTCAACCACTGAGCCACATCCCCAGCTCTATTTTATATTTTATTTAGAGACAGGGTCTTACTGAGTTTCTTAGCGCCTCGCTGTTGCTGAGGCTGGCTTTGGGATTATGGGTGAGCTCCACCGCCTGGCTATTTATAACGATTTTTGGAGGGGGTCCTGGGGATTATACCCAGGGGTACTTTACTGCTGAGCTATATCCCCATTCCCTTTTATTTTTTATTTTGAGACAGGGTCTCACGAATTTGCTGAGGCTGGCCTCAAACTTGCCATCCTCTTGCCTCAGCCTCCCAAGTTCCTGGAATTACAGGCATGCACCACCGTGCCCGGCTGTAACCATAATTTTTAGCATTTTATCATCCCACCAGTGCATGGCCAGTAAGTAATTTATTTAATTATTACCTGGAGTGGGTGTTTAAAAAAAATAGATTTGGGTGTCAGATGGACCTGAGTTAAAGAATGCAAGGTCACTTCTAGTGGAACTTCACAAAAGCACTTAATCATTCCTAGCCTTCCTATCCTACCTATTTACAGAGTTGTCTTGAGAATTAAATAAGATGGTATGTTTAGTATGTGGTTGACATATACCAAGCACTGAATGAATTAACTCTCCTTTATATTATTCTACATCGTTCTTAACATAAATAATGATGTTCTTTACATAAATAAGGACGTAATGAATACCATTTTGCATTGAGGCTTAGCTTATTTCTTTCTTTTCTAATTTTTTTTCTTTTTTTTGAGATGGGTTTTTTATTTTTCCATTTGTTTTTTCCTAGGCTCAAGCCATCTTTCTGCCTCAGTCTCCCAAGTATCTGGGACTACAGACACTTGCCCAAATCAGTCTTTTTAAAAATTTATATTATTAGATTTGATTGTTGGAGGTAGAATTGCACGATCTTTAAGAATACAAGAGACACCAGTCTCCCCACTCCTTGGGCAGTGCTGGGGATTGAACCCAGGATATTGTGTACACTAAGCAGATGCTATACCACTCAGCTGTGCCCCTAGTCCCCAAACTCACTTTTTTGGGGGGGGTACTTCTGTTTGAACCTAGGGGTGCTTTTACCACTTGAGCTACATCACCAGTCTTTCTCATTTTGAGACAAGTTGCTAAGGATCTCACTAAGTTGCTGAGACTGGCCCCGAATTTGTGATCCTCCTGTTTCAGCCTCTCAAGTCACTGGGGTTATAGGCATGTGCCATCTTGTCCCACCCTTTAACTCTCTTTTATAAGTAGTTTTCCAAAAGAGATCATTTTAACCAGTTGGTCTCTAAAAAGGGTCATCTTTCATCCTAGGGCTTTGAAGCAGATGAATGATATGCTCAGATCTATTATAAAAAGAGCTTTCTGGCATCATATGACTTGGAATAGGGCATAGGGAGACTTGAGATTATTATGAAAGTCCAGCAATTGCTTTGTCCAAGTTAATGATCATGGAATGGATACCAGGCAAGAACAGTGCTTGTACAGCTCAGCAGTGGTGGGTTTGACAGAACTTGAGGAGGGAGGGTTATGTGTAGCCAGTAAGTAATTTATTTAATTATTACCTGAAAGGGGTAAAAAAAAAAAGTAGACTTGGGTGTCAGATGGACCTGAGTATATATATACATATACATAAACATACGCATATATATTCTACCCATCCGCCCCTGGTGTGTGGGGGTGCTAGGGATCAAACCCAGGGCCTTTTTGCATGCTATGCAAGTATTCTGTCTTCTTCCCCTTCATAATGCTAATGGTCGAATCGTCTGTGCACTGTCCTTGATCTTACTGGGTGCTCTTGTTTACCATTATATGCATTAAAAAAATCTGTAGCCACACAATAGCACTGACAAGTTGGCAAACAAGCGTAATTACAGTTTAACAGATAATTATATTAGGACCCAAAATTGATTTTCCCTATGCTAGAGCTGAATTTGAATCTTCTAGCTCCTTTCAGTGAGCACAGGAATAATTATGTGAGTGATAGAATAGGTCACACTATTATTCCTGAAAATGCCAGTTACTGTTCAGAACCCCTTGGTGCTAGTTGGTATCTATCAGTAGGGGTCACTTCTGGCCTTTCAAAAGTTATTTAAGTCCTAATAACTACTTATCATGCCCATAAAGGAGGGACATAGATTCTGGGTAATCTGTGGAGACAAAAGGATGGAGTTCTGGGAAAACCTTGTGAACTGTAGGAGAATCAACTTGTACTGCTGGCTTTTCCTGCCCCTTACCATTCATGTGGTCTGTCCAGGACTTGCTCTAACAGTCTCATCGAAGAGCTCATTTATTCATGCAGCACCACAATGGATGTAAATACATATCCTGCAGAGTCACAGATGAGGTGCTGAGGGGCACAGCTCAGAGATGTAAGCAGAAAGGACTGTTCTGCAGAGATTTCTGTAGCACTTGCATTTTTTGGTATGTCCTCATATGCATGTTCCCCAAGTTCTCTTCTGCTCTCAACTAGTAATGCTGCTGACTGAACACTTTCCAAGTATAATCCATTTTGTGTGTGAGGAAATGGGTTCATATATATTAGGTAATTATTGAGAACTAACTAGTAGTGTACTGAAGATTCTTTTTCCCCAGTACTGGGGATTGTACCTAGGGGCACTCTACTAATGAACTGTATCCCTATTCCCCACCTCCTTTTTTTGAGACAGGATCTCACTAAATTGGCCAAGCTGTCCTCGAACTTGTGATCCTTTTGCCTCAGCCTTCTGAGTTGTTGATTACAGGCATGTGCCACCTTGCCTGGCCCTGGCAGATGTTTAGAAATCAACTCTAGGAGAGAAAACATTCCTGATTTGTAGAATTTTCAGGCTTCTGTGGGAATACTGCCATCATGACTAATTATATTTAGGGGAGGGGCTGGGATTGTAGCTTAGTGGTAGAGCGCTTATCTCACACAGTGAGGCACTGGGTTCCATCTTTAACACCACAAAAAAATAAATAAATAAAGTAAAGGTATTGTGTCCATCTATAACTAAAAAAAAATTTTTTTAAATAAATAAATTTAGGGGTAAGTGGAGTAAGTAAAGCATGGTTAGACAGTAAGGGGTTTCTAGAATGACCACCATGCCAAAGACATAGTGGTTGCAGGAAGGTCTTTGTAGGTGAGATGGTATATGGCTTATTTCAGGTAAGGAAGAATGTAACCATCCAAGTGTGAACTTTGTGCAGGTACTGGACCCTGGGATTGCCTAACATGTGATGGACAGTTACTTTTACAACCTCTGGAAACCCCAAGAAGTCTGTTGGGATCTGGAACTTGGGGAAGATACGGGATGTTAAGAAACATTCTCATACATACAAACTAAAGTTTGAGAGTCATTTCCCAAAATCTTGGGCCTTGAGGCTCATACTGGGCCAGGGGCATCTTTAGGGATTGTGTCAAAGTTGATATCTCATAAAGGGAATCTAGTCATGGTGTAATTACTGGTCTCCATTGGAGCATAAGGTAGCAGTGTTAAATGTGGGTTAACCATATCCTTGGTCTCTATAATGAAGCCCTAGGACTTGCTAAACACCCAGTAGTGGGCTTTGAAATGGTGATAAGGGAGGTACAGTAGAGAGATTGAAGTACCAGAACCTTGTGCATGATGAGCACTTTTTCTGTGCCACTTAATTCATTCCACTTAATTCGTTAGCCCACAGATAGCATCTGACCCCTACCCTTCTCCCAGAGGTTCTCTTGGGGCTCTTCCCCCCACCCCCATTATTGGGGATGAACCCAGTGGTGCTCTGTCACTGAGATACATCCACAGTCCTGCCCCCAATTTTTTTTTTTTTTTTTTTTTAAGATAGATCTCACTAAGTTGCCAAGGCTAGCCTCTAACTTGCATTCCTCCTGCCTTAGCCTGCCCAATAGCTGGGATTACAGGCAGGCACCACACCACCAAGAGCTTCTTGGGGCTCTTTTTATTCTAAGTTCTTGTGAGGTGGTGTCCTCCATCTGAGCAGGTGGGAAGGTAGGCTTGGAGTAAGGCAGATCTATCGGTAACTGATTCCTTGCCCTCCCCTCATCTAGCTCTGTAACCCTGGCTTATTTACCTCACTGCTTTACATTTCATTTTCCTAATTTACAAAATAGAAATGATAATACTTAACTTCTCTGGTATCTTCACAGCTGAGAGTAGGCCCTGGATTGGCCTTGTCTTCATTCACCTCCTAAGGCTTCCCACCTAGAGAAGAATTGTGTCCAGGGGGATCTGTGGGTAAAGATGACCCCAGGCATGCCTCAGCCTAATCCACTGTCTCCTGTTGTAGGAACTGACCGACTTGCAGAGGGATCCTCCTGCCCAGTGTTCCGCAGGACCTGTGGGTGATGATTGTAAGTATTTTTCAGGGCTTCAGCTAACTCTCCAAATTTATCAGCTGAGCACCTTTTAAGAAAACCAATCTTATTTTTCTTTCTTTTTTCAATTGCTTTTTCATTGAAGGTCTTAATTTCACCTCAGTGTGGCAGGTCAGGTTACACTCTGCTGCCAGAAAGCACCCCTCCCTCCACTGAGTCATGAGAAAATCAGTTTGTCCCAGGGCATATAGGCTTCTGTAAAGGGCCTCTGACCAAGTCAGACTTGAGGCACTGATGTAAAAGTTGTTATACAACTAGTTATAGATAAGTATACCTGGGAGCCAAACAGGAGGGCTGATTAGGGGGCAGGGTGGCAGCTACATGCCTCTGGTACCTGGAGCACAGGTATCTATTCTTTTCTCACACTTCTGTGCTTCACGAGGGGAAGACTGAAGAAGCAGCTATAAGCAGTTGATTGGGACAGGGGTTAAGAGAAAAAAGCAACACTGGCCAGCCCTGTGCCACTCTTTGCAGCCAGCTGGCTGGAGGCTGAAGCCGCCCAGCACTAGAGTTTCCAAGAATTCCCTTATCTTCTTTTCTTCTCTCTTCCACTGGTAGGCAACAGCTATAATAAAATCATAGGGTCCTATAGACTGAAATATGCTTGCATTCACAGCATCATTATTCAATAGTTGAAAGGTGATGACAACACAAGTGTCCATCAGCAGATGAATGGATAAACAAAATGTGATCCTGATGTGCACTACAATATGGATGAACCTGAAAGCATGCTAAGTGAAATAAACCTTGAGGGGAAGGGGAGAGACAAATCTTGCATAGTTCTACTTATACCAATGTCTAAACTAGGCAAATTCTTAGAGATAGAAAGTAGCTGCCGGGCATGGTGGCATCTACTGTAATCCCAGTGTCTTGGAAGGCTGAGGCAGGAGGATTGCCAATTCAAAGCCATAGCAAGGCCTTAAGCAACTCAGTAAGACCCTGTCTCTAAATAAAATACAAAAAAGGCTGGGGATGTGGCTCGGTGGTTAAGCGCCCTGGGTTCAATCTCTAGTAGCAAAAAATAAAAGTTCATGAGGGATTACTAGATGGTAAAGGGACATAGATTGTTTCATAGGCATACTGTTTCTGTTTTGGATGATAGAAAAGCTTTAGAAAATTCTCAGTTTCAGTCCCCAGCACCACAGAGGTGGGGCGGGGTGGGGGGGGGGGGAAGAAAGGAAGGGAGGGAGAGGGAAATGGATAGTGGCAATGGTTATACAACATTGTAGATGCATATAATACCTAATACCACTGGATTGCACATTTAAAAGTTGTATATAAATCTCATATTTTGTTACATATAGTTTACCAGTATCTAATGAAGAAAAATTTCGTGAAACTAGTGGGAAAAAGTTGGGTGGTATCCCATGTGTGCCTTCATGTCCTGGGAAGAGCTGGAGCTCAAAGGAGCCAAGGTTAGGCAGATGAAGCTAGTGAAAGTGCAGGCTCTGAAGGCTTTCTGTGGGAGTTTAAATGATTTTTTCAGCAGAGCAGAAATGATTCATTTGCATGGGCAGAGTATGAATATGGCAACAAGCTCCAAAGCCTCCTGACACCTGCTTCTTGCTTGCTCCCCTTTAGTCACTGTTTTGCTTGTATTGTCTTCATAAGCATCTTAGATCTCCATAGCGTATTTCCCCTCTGACCTGTTACTTAATATCAAGTTAAACTAAGGTCATAGCAAGGTTGGGCTGGTTCTAATTAACTAGAGGCAGCTTCTTGATACTTAGCTTACATTCTTGCTCACCTTGCACTGCAGCCCTATATCAGGAGTCAGCTGTCATGTTAAAAAGACTAATACCAAGTCCACTTGCCCTAACCAATACCTTGGAGGATGAGGCTCAGACAACCTTGGAAGCTGGCTTTCCTTTCAAGCTTATTTTATGCCTGCCCCATTAACAGATAGCTCCCATACAGTATCTCTTCTCTGTTTTCTCTCTCATCCTCTCTCTTTTGGGTCCCCTTTTGGGTCTCTTGTGACTGTGTCCTCAAGCCCTGCTCAGCACCCCAGCGGCTATTAGGGGTTAAAATGAACAAAACCAGAAGATCCTATCCTGTAACCAAGAAAGGACCACTTTTATTAGCTACTCATTTGTCATGGGCTCCTATTCTGAAATATATTATCAAAACACTTATTTAGGACTGGGACTATAGCTCAGTGGCAGAGCGCTTGCCTAGCATCCATGAGGCACTGGGTTGCAGCCTCAGCACCACATAAAAATAAACAAAGACATTCTATCCATCTACAACTACAAAAAAAAGTTTTAAAAACACTTATTTAATAAGGAATTCTATACTACATTTTTATTAGGCAAACTGCCATCTAACAATTAACATGAGTTGAGGCTGGAGATTTAACTCAGTGATAGAGCACTTGCCTAGCATTCACAAGGCCTTGGGTTCAGTCCCCAGTAGTATTGTAGGAACTGACCAATTTCAGGGAGATCCTCCTGCCCACTGATCCACAGAACCTGTGATGATTGTAAGTATTTTTTAGGGCTTCAGCTAACCCCCCAAATTTATCAGATGAGCAGTTTTTAAGAAAACAATCCTATTTTTCTTTCATTTTGTGAATTGCTTTTTCATTGGAGGAAAAAATGAAACAACAGACCTTCCATTAGCATAAGTTGGAATAAGAACAGAAGTAAAACAAGTGATATTTTCATTAGCTGAGGCAGTCTTATTACAGATAAAGGTATCTTATTCATCAGTATTTTGTTGAAATATTGAAACAGACTCACTGGCTGCCTTGACTATCTTTGGTCTCACCTAGTGGGTTTGGGAAACTTCTCTTTAGTTCTTGCACAAGAACCCTTGCCTTGGTGTCTTCCCCATCCTGCTGTCATGGGTAAGCCTGTGGAATATTTAAACAGGTAACAGGAAACCCAAGACAGGACCAGGCCTGAAACCTTGAGCCATTTTACACCCATCATGAGTCCAAATGAGATGAATTCCCTTGAGAATAATAGGCCTCTCAGGTGCTCTCATAAGCCCAAACCTATGGTTGTGTAGCCATTTTCCACAAAGGCTTTGGAGTTTTTGCCCTGGGTCACACATATGACTTGGGAGCCTGGAAGGTTAGTATGTGGTCTACTTAAAGATTCCTTGCTGAGTGCACTAGAGCTGCTTTGGGGATGGACAGAGCAATAAAAGTAACCAGGGACCCTTTAGAGGGCAAGAGGTGTGATGTGTAGCAGCTTTGGCTGCTGAAGTCTGGGAACCTAGGAGGAAAAACCAGGAGAGCCTCATCTTATCTTGTCACTGAGTCCCCAGAGCACTGTCTGGTGATATGCACAAGAAGACATGTGTAGATGTGGCAGCCGTGAGCCCCCACAGCTGTTGGCAATTGGTTCTTTAGAGAGACTATTTTGGAGAAGGCTTCAGAATGAATCAAGGGAAGAACCAGGGAATAGAAGGCACTTATCAAGAGCAATATGAAAAGAGCCCAAAGCCTGGGTAAGGCCTAGTTCTGTGCCAAGAGAGGTCTGAATTATAGTTACTGGCACCTTTGTAGTAAAGAAATTAATCTTGGACTGGAGCTATAACTCAGTGATAGAGCACTTGTCTCAACATACAGGAGGTCCTAAGTTTCATTCCCAGTATTTCAATAAATAAATAGATATAAAAATTAATCTTGCCCCCAAAAGATCTGAACTTCATCCTCAGCCTCTGGCAGGTGATCTCAAAGATGTCTCACCCAAACAGAGTTTTTGTCTAGAGGCTTTGACCCACACCAACAATGTGATTTAGAGTGGAGGACTAGCCATGCCAATAGACCAACTATGTGACTTAAGATGGAGGCTTTGAATCATGCTTGGAGAGACTGGAGATTGAAATCAGACCTGTAGGCATTCAAGTCATTAATCATATGTTTATGACAGAGCCCCAACAAAAATTTCTTGAGTATTGAGGCTTAGGCGAGCATCTCTGATCGGCAATATCTGTGTTTTATCACATGTTGATGTCAAGAGAGTCCTGTCCTCATGAGGAGAGAATAATGGAAGCTCTGCATTTAGACCCCTCCTTTTATTAATCTGTGCCACTTCCCTGTAATAAACTGTCACCTTGAGTACAATAGCCTTCAGTGAGCTCTGGGAATCCTAGCAAATTATTGAACTCTAGAATACATTTGGTGTCAGAAGTCAGGCAGTCTTGTGTAAATAGCACACTCTAAACTAAGCAGCATCTTTTCAGTAAAATAGACATGTTATTTGGGGGGGGTCTCATATGTTCCCATCTCTCTTTTGTCTTGTAGTGTTCCACTGGCAGGCCACCATCATGGGCCCGGTAGGTAGCGCTGCTGAGTGCACAGCTTCAGTTTTGCTTCTTATATTTTATACTTAGCACCAGCACTGAATTCTTCCTGTGTCTTCCAGAATGACAGTCCTTACCAAGGAGGTGTTTTCTTCCTGACCATCCACTTTCCTACGGATTACCCTTTCAAGCCCCCAAAGGTGAGGCACCCCCCAACTCTTCTGATGTTTGGACAAAGGACAGCTTGTGATGAAGGGGCCTCTTCAGGTTACAGGTAAAGAGAGCTGTGTATGAACCTTCTCTCCAGGGCCTGTCATTCCAATTCCATGGTTTTAGCCTTCTAGGACTTTAAACTCTGGACTTTGAGAATTAATCCCTGTTGTGAGCAAGGGAGAGTGTGATGAACAGGCTTCTTGCTGAAGTCTCAGTTTTAAGGATGCTCTTGTTTGAAGAAAATCGGTGTAAAAGGACTGACTGCATAAGCAGAGGGTACCAAGAGTCTGCAGAAGAGGCAAACAGATCCAGAATTACAGAGTACATCTTCATTGGGGGCTTATAGACAGAAACATGGTTGAAGGTGACATCAAAACAGTGGATCCTCATGACTTGGGTCAGAGGGAGGGAACTTACAATGTGATCAGGACAAATTTGATTTTCATCCAAGCTGGAATGTACCTGGTTTATCTCAACCTAACATCACAGACATCAGGCATATTCCCAGAGCTGATGGCACCAGAGTTCAATTGTAAAGATCCACATGCCACTCTAATAGTTTTTTATCTTATACTATGTGGAGAAAATAGACCAGGTTTACTCAAGGGCAGTCATGGCAGTAACAACTCAGAATGGCTGCTGCAAGTCAATCTGAATCTCTATAATACTCCTCATTGCTATGGCTAATCCTGGTTAGGTCTGCAGGCTACCGTTTCCTTCTTTGAAGTTGTTTACTTATGGTCTAGGATAGGAATTCTTGGCCAGGGTGATTTTGCACTTGCTCCAGGAACATATGGACAAGATCTTGGCATATTTTGGGTTGTCAAAACTTGAGGGGGTTGCTATTGGTATCTAATGAGTGAAGACTGAAGATGTTGCTCAGCACCCTACAGTGTCCAGGACTATTCCCCTTCTCTAACAGAAAATGCCAAGGTGGAGTCATCTGGTCTAGGACCCTGGCAAATCAATTTCCTTTATTAATTTAGAATGGTAGCTTACTTTCCTTTGCTTTTCACACACAAACCACTCCTTCATTAGAGCCTCAGAGAACAATGCCACTGATAGGAGGGAGAGACCTGGGGTCTCCCTGACTACCCTGCCTCTGCCTGTCAAGTAGATTTCTGGGATCTTCTATTTGCAGGTTGTCTTGCTCCTGGACATACATCCTACTACCAGTGTTGTCCTCACTAACCTGGACTCTATATACAAAGCAAAGCCTGCTGTTCTGAGGTTCACAGTCCTAGGGAGGAATAGAGATATTTATTACGTGAGCTAGTCAGTACTGAGAAGAAACACAAGCAAGCAGTGGTTGAGCTGCGTATCAGCTGTGGTCATACATAGTGGGTACATAATTCACATCACTTTTAACTGCTTTCTTTTTCTGATTGCAAAACTGGAAAAAGTTTGTTATTTTTAAATTAGAGAAATAACTAGTGTGCAGATGGAAGCCAGCTTGCTGTAGTCCCACAGAAGATCACAGTTAACAGCCTGGTGTACATTTCTCCAAGATTTTTTCCATATACACCAATGTATATTTTTATTCTCATTTTAAAAATAAAATGCCAATTCTGTTTTGTGAATGAGGAAGCTAAGTCTAAAGGGGGATGTATATCTCCTTAAGATGACATGGATAATACAAGGTGAAACTCAGACCCAGATATTCAGTCTTTTTAAAAAAAGTTTTTTTAGTTAATTTTAGAGTTAGAAAAGTTGCAAAGATTGGGAGTATAGCTCAGTGGTAGAACACCTGCTTTTCATATTCAAGGCCCTGGGCCTAGCCCCAGCACATTCACAACATATAGCACACTTACAACAAAATAGCTACAAAAGTAATATAAAGAGTTTCCATGTATTCTTTTTGTTGTTGTTGTTCTAATTAGTTATATATGACAGTAGAATGCATTTTGACACATCATACATAAATGGAGTATAATTTCTCATTTTTCTGGTTGTACATGATGCAGAATCACACCATTAGTGTAGTCATACATGTACATAGGGTAAAAATGTCCAATTCATTCTACTATCCTTCCTATCCCCTCCCTTCATTCCCCTCTGCCTAATGCATGTTACCTCTATTATTCCCTAGGCATCCCCATTATTATGAATTAGCATCTGCATATCAGAGAAAACATTTGGCTTTTGGTTTTTTGGGATTGGCTTATTTCACTTAGCATGATATTCTTCAGCTCCATCCATTTACCTGCAAATGCCATAATTTCATTCTTCTTAAGGTTGAATAATATTTCATTGTATAGATATACCACATTTTCTTTATCCATTCATCTGTTGAAAGGCATCTAGGATGGTTCCATAATTGGGCTATTGTGTATTGAGCTGCTGTAAACATTGATGTGGCTGCATCACTGTAGTATGCTGATTTTAAGTCCTTTGGGTATAAACCAAGGCGTGGGATAGCTGGGTCAAATGGTGGTTCCATTCCAAGATTTTTTTTTTTTGCTTTTTTTTTTTGTGGGGAGTGCTGGGGATTGAACCCAGAGCCTTGTGCATGCAAGGCAAGCACTCTACCAACTAAGCTATATCCCTAACCCCCATTCCAAGTTTTCTCCATACTGCTTTCCATAATGGTTGCACCAGTTTGCAGGCCCACCAGCAATGTATGAGTGTACCTTTTCCCCATGTCCTCACCAACATTTACTGTTGCTTGTACTATTGATAATTGCTGTTCTGACTTGAGTGAGATGAAATCTTAGTTTTGATTGCATTTCTCTAATTGCTGGAGTTGATGAACTTTTTTCCATGTGTTTGTTGATTGATTGTATTTCTTCTTCTGTGAAGTGTCTGTTCAGTTCCTTAGCTCATTTATTGATTGGGTTATTTGTTTTTTTAGTATTAAGGTTTTTGAGTTCTTTATATATCCTGGAGATTAGCGCTCTACCTGAGGTGTATGTGGTAAAGATTTTCTCCCATTCTGTAGACTCTCTCTTCACGTTATTGATTATTTCCTTTGCTGAGAAAAAGCTTTTCAGTTTGAATCCATCCCATTCATAATTTTACTTATTATGCTTTAGGACACTTATTAAGGAAGTCAGTTCCTAAGCCGACATGATGAAGATTTGGGCCTACTTTTTCTTCTATTAGGTGCAGGGTGTCTGTTCTGGTGAATAAGTCTTTGATCTACATTGAGTTGAATTTTGTGTAGAGTGTGAGATAGGGGTTTAATTTCATTTCATTACATATGGATTTCCAGTTTTTCCAGCAGCATTTGTTGAAGAGGCTAACTTTTCTCCAATAAATGTTTTGGCACCTTTGTCTAGTATGAAATAACAGTATTTATGTGGGTTTGTCTCTGTGTCTTGTATTCTGTACCATTGGTCTACGTGGTGTCTGTTTTGGTGCCAATACCATGCTGTTTTTGTTACTATTGCTCTGTGGTATAGTTTAAGTTATGGTATTGTGGTGCCTCCTGCTTCACTTTTCTTGTTAAGGATTGCTTTGGCTATTTTGGATCTCTTAGTTTTCCAAATGAATTTCATGATTGCTTTTTCTAGTTCTATGAAGAATGTCATTGGGATTTTAATAGGAATTCATTAAATCTGTATAACAGTTTTGGTAATTTGGCCATTTTGACAATATTAATTCTGTTTATCCAGGAGCATGGGAGATCTTTCTACCTTCTAAGGTCTTCTTCAGTTTCTTTCTTTAGTGCTCTATAGTTTGGTATCAGGTAAAGCTATACATGGAGGGCTGTGATTGTATCTCAGTGTTAGAGTGCTTGCCTAGCATAGGTAAGGCCCTGGGTTCAATCCTCAGTACCACATAAAAACAAATAAATAAAAATTTTTTTAAAAGAACACATGGAAGCCGCCTCCATGTATTTTTTATCTAGCTTTCCCTGATACCAACATCTTATGTTACTGTACTGCTCCAATCAGAACCAGGAAATCAGTGCTGGTCACAGTACTATGAACTAAACTGACAACTTGATCAAACTTTACCAGTTTCTACCAGTGTTCCCCTTGAGCTTCAGGTTCCCAGCACTTACTGTTTAGTTTCTTCTATCATCGCAGTTTGTAATGGTGCTTTAGTTTTTCATAATCTTGATGGTTTGGGAGGCTGGAGATATAGCTCAGTTAGTAGAGTGCTTGCATTGCATGCACTAGGCCCTGGGTTCAAGTCCCCAGCAACACACACACATACACTAAAATACACACACACACACACACATACATAAATAAAATCTTGATGGTTTTGAGGAGAATTAATCAATTATGATGTCAGAAGTCAGTCATTTTGGATTTGTGTGATATGTCCTCAGGATTCGATCAAGGGTAGCATTTTTATCAGACTTACTTGGTAGTCTTGTCAGGGTGTCAAAGTCCAGGAGCGTGATGTCTCTGTGCCTTACCACCTGAGTTGGCCCTGGTAGTTTAAGTTTGTAGCCACTGTTTTGCGCTTTGCTTATCTGATTCATTGTAAGAGGCTCCTTTTGGGCTCACTTGTTGCAGCTCTGTGCAGGTGTTGCCAACAGCAGCCACTTGGTGCCTGGATATTTTAAATCAAGGTTAAATGTGTTCAGTACTCTGGAGACTTTTCCAGCTTTTGGCAGGGGAGAGGGTGTGTAGTGATAGAGCTAAAATAGCCCCTCAGGATTGGGTACTATTGGTGGTGGTAATGGTAGTGGGGTGGTTGAAAAAGCATTAGCTTGCTTCATGTTTCTCTAACCCACCCTCCAGTCCCCTTTCCCTATGGAAAGACTGTGCATTATCTTTAAAGTAACAATTTCTAATCATTAGAATGTAAGCAGCTAAGAATCTTCCTTAAACAGATAAGGATGTAGTCCTATATATCAGTTGGACCTTTTTTAGAATCACTAACTGCCCAAGGAGATAGTGAAAACATTGGCTATTATTAAAAGACAGAAGTAAATTCTATGAGTTGGGATTATTTTAACAGGGAAAGATGTAAACTGAAATATGAGAGTGATACTCTACAAAAAAAGAAAGTGCTTCTGTCTTCTTAAAATTTTTCACAGGAATCCAGGCTCGGTGGCACACCTGTAATCCCAGCTTCTAAGGAGGCTGAGGCAGGAGAATCACAAATTCAAAGCCAGCCTGAACAGCTTAGCACGATCCTGTCTCAAGATAAAATAAAAAGAGCTGGGGATGTCACTCATTGGTACAGTGCTATGGGTTCAATCCCCAGTACTTCACTTAGGAAGCAAATAAATAGTCTGTTTTCATAAGAATTTTCTGACTGTAGGAGGAATCTGGCAGAATTGCATGATCTTTATAGGAGATATTGAAGCAGATACTCTCCAAGACCCTTTTGAAGTTTGACCTTACTGGGAAAAAAAAAAAAAAATCATATGGTAAAAGTTGGTTAAGCTCACATACACACAGCCCCCTTCACCTCATCTTTTCAAGTAAGTTCTTATGTTTACTTAGCGTGTAAGAGTCTCTGGGTTTGATCCCCAGCACCAAAAAGCCAAAGCAAAACAACAAAAAAAATATTTTAAAGTATATCACACATGCAAAAAATCATGGATGACAATATAAAGGATGCTTCTCACCCACTGTCCAAGCAAAGAAATAGTAATAGAGCATCAGAGCATGGGAAGGAATCATTGCTGCTGCATTGCCCAGCAATTGCTGACATTGCTGGTCTGTGAGGTGTGGGTGGGACTGAGGGGGCAAGCCTTATTCTCATCCTACTCCAAGGACAGTGAAAACTGCATGTGACTTGGAGCACCTTTCACATAAGGGGGACTTATCAACCCTGGGAACAGCATCACTCCCTATTTAAAGAGAGGATTCTGGTCCCCAGGAAATTCATTTCAAGAAGTAATGTGTGGCTATGTTTTTTTCTAGAAGAGATCAAATGGTAGGAGTATGTGCAGTGAACACAGTCTTCTTTGTCCCAGTGGTCTGGATCTTTCTTTTTTCTCTTCCAAGCATCATCTACACCTGTACAACCACCTGTGTGTGTTTCCTTTTTTCTCCCATGGCATCTCCAAGATGTCACAAAGCTGCATTTGATTTTTCCATCAAGAGTGCATATTGGAAATTTTTCCATTTGAGCATACGAGTATTTCCTGTGCGCTTTTTAAACAGTTGTATATATGTAACACTAATTTCATCAATAATCTCTTGAGAGACATTTGCATTGTTTTATGTGTTTTGCTACAGTGAGTATCCTTGCATATTTGAAATGTGCAAGTGTATTTTGAAGGCTAAATTCTGAGAATGGAAAAACTAAAAGGAGAGAAGAGGGTTTGGAGTATGGCTCTGTGGTAAAATACTTGTCTGTCATGCATGAGGCCCTAGATTCAATCTCCAGCACTGGGGGTGGGGGTAGGGGAGGAAAAGGTCTGTGACCTGGGCTTATCTGCTGGTGGTGATACATCTTATGTTAACAAAGCATCTATGTTTTATGTGTAGCCAAAATCAGTGATGGGTGAAATCCAAGTTTTGTCCAAGCTAGTTAGACCCAAGTAAGTAATTAAGTAAAGGATGAGGAGTAAATTTTGGCTGTTTCCTGTTGTAACTGTTTCCTCATTATATCCACAATTTGAGTCATTATTTTTTGCACAGACCTTTGGCTTTCTGAGTTCTTTCCACCACCTTCCTTGTTGCTCTTCAGAATACAGTACTTTTGGGAAGATAATATCAGTCTTCCTGTGTTCAGAATGAGAATCCAACAGAAAATAAGTCAGGGGACTTCTTGGGTTACCTTTCCTGTGTCCTATTAGGGATTGGGATGGGCTTCCAGTTCACCTAGGACTGTGTGAGGCCAGTACAGAGCATACCCTAGTATAGCCCAGCAGTGGCTACTTCAGCTTTACTCAGTTTGTTTTCCATATGTCCCCTTTGGCTTGTCTGACTTGGGATCTCTCATTTCTACAGGTTGCTTTCACAACAAAAATCTATCACCCCAATATCAACAGCAATGGCAGCATCTGCCTGGACATCCTGCGGTCACAGTGGTCTCCAGCACTAACTGTGTCCAAAGGTAGAAACTCTGATGTGTGTTTCATGTGCCCTGTCTCGTGTGTTTTTACCCACTCACTGACTGGTGGGCATGGAGGCTCAGGGAGAATGGGCAGCTTACCCAGGTCTCAAAGCCCCATCTAGCCTTGTGCACACATGATGTCCTTGCACTGCAGAGAAGTAACATTAACCAAGCTCAGTGTCCTGTATCTTATCAGTTCTCAGTAGTCAGTCACTATGAGGTGCTTAAGACATCATATAGGTGCAAGAAGAAAATATCAATTTTACTTACACTCTTCATCTAAAAATCAGAAAGACAAATATTGTACTACCTTTTCTGTTCCATCATTTATCCATTCATCCAAAAAGGAACAGCTGAGAATGTGAGTCAGCCTTGAAAGAAGAGATACATGACCTATTCTCAGGAGCCTCACGATTGATGGAAAATCCTCCCTTTCTAAAATAAGCAATACTGAACACATGTCTTTGGGTGAGATTCGAAAAACCAGACAAGTAGAAATGCAGATACTCCTCCTAGTTTGGTAATGCCAGCCTGTAATCCCAGCAACTCAGGAGGCTGAGACAAAAGAACCACAAGTTCAAGGCCAGGCTCAGCAATTTAGTGAAGCCCTAAGCAGCTTAGCAAAACACTGTCTCAAAATAAAAAATAAAAAGGACTGGAAATGCAGCTCAATGGTGAAATTCTGAGTACAAAAAAAAAAAAAAAAAGACAAGAAATGCAGATATTCCCTCTGAACTAAGATGTGCTGAGCATGACCTGTGTGTTTGTGTGTTCACATGAGTCCTGAATATAGTCAGTATGGTGGCCTCTCAGGTAGGGGATGGGTGGGATGGTGAAAAAAAAAAATCAGCTTCCCAAAATAAGCAGAGAATACGCATGAGGCAGTGCAGGTAGCAAAGCTTTGGGTAACCAACCAGGAAAGGTTGCAGAGAGCCTGGGACAGCTGGCAGGGGCAGGCTTTAGAAGGATGGAGAGGGCCTACAGCAGTAGGCATGGTGAATCCAGAGAGACAAAGCACCACCCCTGCATATGGTGCATATCTTTGCCAGGGCAGAACAGATTCTGTTGGGCTGACAAATCCAGGAAACATCCCAACATCCTCCCAAGATAGCTTCCCTCTGAGTTGAACCTAGGAGAAGTATATGCAGGAAGGATTGCAGGGGCAGCCATGGCAAAATGCCAACCTTGAGGGTCTACCTGAAGCTGAGCTGGCAGACCCAGGGCCAGCATAGTCCTAGATATGGAGTTAGGAAGGGGCCCTTCAGTGGGAAGGAAGGAAAGAAGGAAGAAAAGCACTGGAACTTGAGTGGCCTGGAGGACTACATCTCAGCTGAGACTAGCAGAGGGGTTGAGCTGCTCTACCATTTGTAGCTTACCCTTGGGGACCTGTGGTTAGCACTCTGATGAACTCACTGAAGGCAGTTTGTTGGGTGTCCTGGCAGTCCAGAACAAAGCAGGAATGATAATCCTCTCACAGTTCCTTCTGCTCTTCACCAGACCCTAGTGGATGATTCCCTTTTTCCAGAGCACACTGAATGTACATTACAGAGATGAGCGCAAGAGTGGAAGGGTTCTTTGGCTTTGTGATTATAGACCTAGTTAAGAATTTTTACCCATTTACTGGGTATTCCAAGTCTATGACCTTAGAAAGTTACCTGAGTGCTCTGAACTCCAGTTCTCTTAACAGGGCTCCTGGAACCAAACACCAAAGATACATGGTATGGTTAAAAACTGTGGGCCTGAAAGACGTCAGAGGCTAAGACCACAGGGGCTTCGGTAAGGGCCCGAGACCATATAGAGGAGGAAGTGTCCTGGAGCAGTGTGCTGAGACTGCATCAAGAAGTTCGCAATACAAACTGCCTCCCAGTTAGAATGTAGCCAAAGCAAATACTTTCATGACTTAAGCAGAATCATTATTAGATTAGGGTGTTGAGGGAAAAAGAACTGCCTGGTCAACTGAAAGCACAAGTTTTGGGGGGCTAACTACATCCACAGCTTCATGGCCACAGCTGACTGACCCTTTCTTTCTTCCCAGTTCTCTTGTCCATCTGCTCCCTGCTCTGCGACCCCAACCCTGATGACCCTCTGGTGCCAGAAATAGCCCACACCTACAAGGCCGACAGAGAGAAGTATGCGTCCTCTTTGGATTGCCTTTGTGCCATGGCTGCCAGTGTTCCCACAGACATCTTCCTGCCTGAGCTGAGCCTGTGCGCACAGTGGATGTGCCCTGGGTGTGGCCTCTTGGCTCTCACTAACATGTCCTTTGACTCTCCTCTGAGGAGAGAGAAGGGGATAAAAGCAGTTTACCCTCCTGGATAGTTCATCAGCTGTCCTACAGAACCCTAAAATATTGTTTGCCACACCCTGCCTTGAGGCCAGCAAAGTCAGTGGTCAGCCAAGAATGGACTCAGAAGAATCTGACAACAGGAAAATTCTGGATTAAATTCTAAGGTTTATGGCATAAGACAAGGGTTTGTCTGCTTGGACATACCCAGAGTGAGGCTGAAGCCAGTCAAGGTGGTAAACACAGCTATGGTCAGTTTGCTGGGTGCGGTCAGAAGTCAGTAGTATGTTGCTGTTTCACCAACAGACTCTTACTGCCAATTCTGTTTAAACATCAATTACCAGATCCAGAATTCTTACTCCCTTGGCCAGGTACAACCTTGTGCGCTGAAGCATGGGAGTATTTGGCTAGTGGAGCAGGCCCAGAAGACACTACCCTGTGTTAGTCTGTATGTTGACAGTTATCAAGAAAGAGGCCAGGTGTGATGGGACCCAGACAGCAGAAGTGTCATGTGAATGGCACCTGGGAGAGAATATTACTGGCTCTTGTGAAGAATATTTGCAAAGCCAGGTGTAGTGGTGCACACCTGTAATCCCAGCTTCTTTGGAGGCAGAGGCAGGAGGATCAAGAGTTTCAGGCCAGTCTAGGTAACTTGGCAAGATCCTTTCTCAAAAAACAAAGAGTATCTTCAGAGAGTCTTTTAGTTTATTACTTATCTTCTGTCTGAAGAGATTAGAATGAATTGGTTTTTGTAACATTTTTCTTGAGAACTGTATAGACCTCATTATTATACTCATTGACGTCTCCTGGTAGCAATCAAAATAAGTTTTAGCTGATTAAATTTTAAGTTGTTTTTACTTACTTTAACATTTCTTATGAGCCCACTGATGTAGTTTAGTAGCAGAGTTCTTGCCTAGCATTCACAGGGCCCTGGGCTCATTCCCTAGCACCACAGGGGGAAAAAACCAAATTATTATAAGCTATTTTAGATATAACAAAAGGCATTTTTTTCAGTGTGTCCCCTAACTACAGATCTCTAATTTACAGTCTCATGGCATCAGATTTCATTACAATAATGAAGATAAATGCACATACCTAGATAACTCTCACTGGTGCCAGGCCTGCTCCATGTACTTTATATACAGACTTGTCCAGTCGTCCCCTCAAACAGATAGTCTTTTTATGGTGAACATCCAAGGAGATGAGGGCACAAAGAGGTGGCCCAGCTGTAGAGGGTGGTGCTGATTCACACACAAGTGACAGGTTCTAAAATTTGTGTTCTGGACAGCCTGGAACTATTCCAAGCTGAACCTTGAGTATCTTCTGCATCCATATTGAAGGACAGGAGAGAGAAAGGGTAGAGATTTGCTGCAGTATTACATTTTCCACAGCAGATAGTTAAGAAGGATCAACAGGACTCACCAAGTAAGGGGGTTACAGCCATGACTGAAGTGTTCCTGCTCCAAGGAAAGTTTTTATTTTTTAATTCATCCATCAATCCTGGATGTTTGACAAGCAGCAGCATTTCCCCACATCAGTCATGTTCTCTGCTCCACGTTGAAGGGACATGACCATTTCAAGTGAGGGTGTCACTCCCTCTGCTTTTTTCTTCCAGGTACAACAGACTAGCAAGAGAGTGGACACAGAAATATGCTATGTAAGTGCCTCGGAGGTTTCGTGGGAGACATTGTTCAAGAGAAGCTGGCCAGGCAAAGAGGTCTTCCTGTGAAGCTCTGAGCTGTCAGCTAAGCCACCGACAGAGTGCCACCCGTTCTTCACACATATGTGGGCCACCCACTTTCTTTGGCTGCAGCATGTTGGTGCCATTCTCAGCCATGGTGGCTTTGACAATGTCACATCTTTGATGCCTAATCAGCAACCATTGTAACTATGATCCACAACCTTTCTGGTTACACTGGAATGGGTCGGTCTGCCCTAACTCATCTGCTCGTCTCTGGGAGGCCAGTCCCTGCACGCCTCCCCTGCCTGGCCTCAAATGGTGCTGCTGCTCACTATGGCACCACATGGTGGCCTAGCCTGGCCCCTCACTACATGCCCTTTGCCTTTAGAACTCAGTGTTGTCCTGGGTGCCCAGGACAGAGTGGGCTTCCTTGCATCCTGTCTGCTGCAGAATCACATCCCAAGGAGTCTGAGTGCATCCTGGAGGCTCCCAGGAATGGGACAGCATCACCGGAAAGCGGATGTTTCATTCTGTGGCTTCTGCCGTCTTCCTCTGCAGTGCCACATGCTGCATATCTCTCCTCACACCAAGAAGCAGCGAGTGGAAAATGTCAGGATATAAAGCACATAACACCCTCCCTCATGAGAGATGACTGTCTTTTTTAGATGCAAGAGCAAAATTATGAAACCATAGTGAGATTTGGGTTATGCTTTTCTATGTGAGAGGTTTTTCCCTACCTCCACCTCCTCCCACCAGGATCCTATACAAAGTCCAAGTGTAAGCCATTTGCAGACTAGAACACAGGGAGGGGTAGAGACTCAACTGTAAATAAACATGCAATTCCCTTAAGAGTCTAAATAATAGTTGATATTTAAGTCTCCTTCCCCCACCCCACCCCCTAGGCAGAACAGAAGATATGAAAACTTGACAGGGTTTTCAGAGCCTTAATTAGAATAGTCTGTTAAGTGCCTGGCTTCCTTGCTTGGCTTTCTGATTGAACACATTTTAAGGTTTGACTTTCTGATTGAACACATTTTAAGGTTTTGACTTTAGAGCTGACAGCTTTGAGATTAGGTGACTTAGGAAAAGGCATGAAAGGGATTTCAAATAAAACCTCCAAAGAAGGAGGAAAGTTGAAGGGCTTCAAATTTCTAAAGCCAATTTTAGTTTTTTCCAGGTTGGTTATTCCATTCTCACAGAGTGATGCTTGACTGATTCAGAACAGAAGCAGAGCTGGGTTGTACACACCTGCAATCTCAGTAACTTGGGAGGCTGAAGCAGGAGGATCACAAGTTCAAGGCCAGCCTCAACAACTTAGCAAGACCCAGTCTCAAAAAATTTAAAAAGGGCTGGGGACCTAGCTTAGTGGTAGAGCACCCCTGGGTTCAATAACCACTACTGCTAGAAGTAAAGAACAGGGCAGCGAAGAGTAAAACTGCAACCAAAAGGCCAGGAAAAACCTCTGAGGGCAATTGGAAGGTCTGCAGATCTAGAACTTGGGGTTAACCAAAGATGACTGTGGGAGTTTGATTTGTTCCTGAAACTCCTAAGTTGTAGCTGCAACCTTATTGCGAGATGTTTTGTCAATGAGAATACCTTCCTGATGTTATTCATGTCATTACTCCTTTTGCAAAAGATGGAGTAGATGGAGCCTGGTCTGCATTTGCCTTTTGGGGGTTTCCATTTAGGATTATCCTGTTATCATAAAGCTTCTTTTTGGGTCCTGTGGTCCTTGTTCCTTGCTTCTCACCATGGTTAGGGTTGCCTTCTTAATTTCTCTTTGCTACCCCTTTGGTCTTTGCTTAAACAGAACAGTAAGTCTTAATAAATGGTGAGAATGCCTTTACCAAGATGTCCTTCAGAAAGGATGTTAATGCAGGCTCTGCTAAGCAGCAATGCCATGCAATGTGTGAAATTGTGTACTTCAGTTCAGCATCACAGAGCATTTTGCATATAATGGTTTATGTAGATTAGGAAGTGGAGAATGATTCACATGTTATAGGCAGGTCAGAGGGGAAAATCCAGACCCAAACTGGTGTCAGGGATGTGGGTATCCACATTCTGGATTTTCAAGTATAATAGTTTGAAGAAACGTGGATTTTCTGCATCCAGTCAAAATTTCCCAAGCTTCCCCTCTCTGCTTGAGATAGGTAGTAGAGAAAGTAAAATCAGCCCTTTGTGGATTCCCAGTAAAAATCTTGACTCATTGTGAATCTTAAGTGGGCTTTATACTTGCTGACCCCTTGGACAGGCATGTTCTTGAGAAATCCCCTTAAGTTCTCTCCCAATGAGACAGTCATCCACTTGTCATGCCTTCCAAGGCTCAAGTCAGCCTGGAAAACACTCCTTGGGTCAAAGCTTTGTTGTAACATTAACTATGGTGTGGGGGCTCCTGTGTAACCCACATCTTCAGAAATCATGCTTCCAAGGCAAGTCCCTGGTTAGCAACTGGACAGCAGATCTGAAAAGTCAGCTGTGGGGTAATGTGTTTCTTTCTTTGGACTAGAGAGGTCAGGGAGATGCATTTATTGTATCTAAGGATTGAAGCTAGGGGCACTTAACTACTGAGCCACATCGCCACCCCCGTTTATTTTTCATTTTGAGACAGGGTCTTACTGAGTTGGTACCTTGCTAAGTTGCTGAAGTTGGCTTTGAACTTGCAATCCTCCTGCCTCAGCCTCCTGAGCCACTGGGCTTACCTGGTGAGATGCATGCTTGAACAACAAATGTATAATGAATAAATGACTGTTAACTCTCCCAAAAGTTTCTGGATTTGATGAATGGAGCTGAGATTTTGATCATCTGTCAGGTTCCAGGAATATCTGGGAGTTACAAGAACATGACAAAGGGTCAAAATCTCACAGCAAGGATTTTTAACCGTATTAAAATGGTAGCTTGGGTCACAGTGTTCCATGCCTGTAATCCCAGTAGCTGGAGAGGCTGAGACAAGAGAATTGCAAGTTCAACGCCAGCCTCAGCAACTTAGCAAGGCCCTAAGCAACTCAGTGAGACCCTGTCTCTAAGCGAAAAAAAATTAAAAGGGCTGGGGATGTAGCTCAGTAGTTAAGCACCCCTGGGTTCAATTCCCCAAAACAGACCCATGTAAAATGGTAGCTTGTAGCTAGCTGAGCAGTATATCAACACAGAAGAATTCCATACCACCTCACTGAAGTTTCTTAAGGATGGTCATATTTCAAAGAAAGTTTTCCTCAGTGTCAGAAAAGATGCTTATAGGCCTGATCTGCAGAATTACTGGCCTGGAACCTGGTACCCAAAGAGGCAGAGAAGGAGCCCTAAGTTCACTATGGAGCCACTTGTCTCTCATCCCTTCTGGTGCCTGACTCTTCTGACTGGCACCTTGTATAAGGGATGGACCTTACATAGCACTGGATCTAGCCATGAGTGCTGGTTATCTGAGAAATGGAGGATGTGGCTATCAGCATCCCTAAATAGCAGCTTGATGCTATGTGGGCAGAAGCAGCAAATAAATCCTGAGCAGCATTCCTTCCAGAGGCCTGCTTGTTCACCTGAAGAAGGACTTACTGTTCACTTCTTGAGGCCAGTTTTCTGACTTTGTTGTCCCTACCGTCTGGTCTTTCCCTGTTGACAGGCTTTATTTAAACAAAACCTAAAGCTATGGGAAATCTGCAAAACTCCCAACAGTCCAAACAGTGTGGCTTCTCTGATTTTTCTAAAATATGTCACCTAACACCTCCCTGCTTCTTCTAGGTCACCACCCTCCAGACAGGCTCAATGGCATCCAGCTGCCTACAACAGGATACCCCTGGAGGGCAGGACCTTAGCAAGCCTTCATGTTGGAGGGCAAAAGCAGATCTGCCTCTTGGAGCCTGTCTCTCACTCTGCTGTCCCCTAGTCCGCCTACAATAGTGCCAGTGTCTGATCATGCAAGAAAGACTGTCACTCCCAGATGGTCATTGTAATAATGTTCTATTTATGTTAAGTGGCATTATGAAAGCAGTATGTGTTATGCTCGAGTTTGGGACCTCCAAAAGACCACCAGAGACCAAGATCGATGTAAGCAGCAAAGAGGCATTTACTGAGAGCTAGGTCGGTCCTCCACGCACACAGCAACTGGGTGATGCTGAGAGGCCCCGAGCCTAGGGTTTGCAGCAGTTTTATACACTCTTTGGAGAAGGCAGGGACTTTACATACATCATAGCATCTCTTAGCAAATCATCACACACCGCAGGAAAATCATAAAACAATTCTAAAACATGATTAGTACATTCACTGGAGGGAACAAGTTGGGTAAGGGTGATTGGTTAGTACAAGAGGGGGATTCGTTTAAACTGATTGGTTTAAGCCATGAGGGGAGTACATGCTGAACTACATGGTTTCCCAAAATGTTATCAACCACCATAAACTACTGGGAGGGTCATCTGACATCCCAGGTGTTTTCCCTGTGTCATGCTGATTGGTGGTTGCTAGGGGTTTGCTATGGGTCCTCACCTAGCCTGAATCAGGGACACGTGGTGCCACAGATCTCTCCTGTTATTTGCAGGGCGGGTATGTGCCTAGGAGTGCTCATTGGGTTTTTCAAGGACAAGGGTCACACCCCCTTCCTTGGACAGGCTTTGCTCTGAGGTAGAGGCTGGTTTCTCAAAAATGGAGTCACTCAGTTTCTCATATGCAAGATGTGATGGAAGGGAAACACAAGAAAAATGTGAGTGGGTGGGAAACAGGAATGGAGATGATCTACCTATGGTAGGTCCCATCCTCTCTCATTTAAAATCCACTTAAGATTCCATTAGATCTCCAAGAAACACAATGCCCCTCCCCTGGACTTCTACCTGTGCCCTATCCTTCAGACCCTTTAGTCTGGTTCACACCTCAGAACGAAAACGTCTGGGAGCCTTCCTTCCAGATCTTCTCATGATCCATGCACATTTGTGGATGGAAAAAAATAGTCTTTCCTGGAAGGGGGCTGGTTGAGGCAAGATGGTTCTTATCCTTCAAGGTAGTACAACCACCTCCTCCATGTGAAGGTAAAGCACAAAGCGAGTCCTTTTCATTCCTCCACTACCCCACACTTAACCAAACTGCAGAGGGAGAAAAAAAAAGTGAGCACCGGCACAAAAGCATTTTTTTTTTTTTTAGATTTTGTAGCCGTGGGATCATCACTTAGCATTCATTCATTCGTGTATTCATTATGTGAACTGTACATGACTTATTCATAAATCAAACTTCTGATGAGGGTCCACACACTGGCTCGTGGGATCCGGTGTGGAGGAAGACTCGTGAATGCAGGCTCTCTCAAGTAAGTGCATTAACTCCGACAAGAATTAACAGAATTAAGCATCACTCCTGGAGCTACTAAGCGGTTGGACTGGAACCAGAGCACACGCTAGGCCACGCCTGGGGAGACCACCCTGCGGACGAACAGAAGCTGACAAGACTGTTCCTCTAGTTCGCCAGCGCCTGAAAACAATAA